ACCATGGATTCAAAGTTGAATTTTCATGTATACGAACACAAACAAAACCTTAAAAATCTTAAATCTATTATAAAATTACAGCAACATTGAGCAAATTAGACGATGTTGGCAATTTGCCTGGAAAAATGACTTCTAATTGTGATAGAAGAATGAAACTGGAGTGGAAGATGAAATCATTACCGAAATATGAAAATAAGCATTTGAAAACTCAAAATCTGGTAAATAAAATTCATAAAGAAGAAGTAAATTTTATTGTAATACTTGAAATTAGATATGCAACTTCTGAATTATGTCAAAACTGAAGAAGAACCTAGCAGATTTGATTTGAATTGATTTCGTATTTAATGGAAAATTTAAAGAAGATAGTGTGGCCTATCGGTTGAAGTTCTATAATCTGTACCGTATGGGCCTTAAAACCGTAACTGATAGGGCTTTAAATTAGAGGAAATTACATATTCTAATAGATATTACACGCATCCAGGTTTTTTAAATGCACAATTCAAAAATCTGCTATCATGTTTATTTGTGCAAATGTCAGGTTTCCACCCCCAATTAAAACCTAAATTATTTTCTCTCTCATCTTCCCCTTTCCTTCCCGTCTTCTTTCTTTATATCCTCTCCCCACACATCGTCGCCATTGCCAAGCACCGTCGCTGGAGCACCGCCCCGGAGCCAACTCTATTATGCTCCGAATCCATTTTCGTCTTTACCTCCTATCCTCTCTCGATACTTCATCCACCTTTCATTTCTTCTTCAAATGGAGCTTCGCTTAGAGATCTGGCCGACCAGTAGGTCCGATGTGTGCTGCTCTCAGTTTAGCCGCACACGACCCTTCAGAGGCCGCTCACGGCTCCTCGCTACTGGTGACGCTTTAAGATCGGCGTCGATCGACGTTGCTGCAGTCGGTGGTGATTGCCTCTACTCCAACAGTACTTCTCCCATGCCTCCACTTCCAATGATGCCTGAACTTCGACGCTGTGCGGTGGCATCTACTCTCTAGACATCCGATTCTGGTAATTCCAAAGGACTCTGATTTTTGTTGGTGTCGATGGTGGTGGTTTTGTAGTTGAAAATCTTAGTTTGTTGGTGGTTGAAAATGGTGGTGATTGTGGTTGTTTTGCTAATGGCGTTGACGACGCTGATGTTAGTAGCGGTGCTCGTGTTGGCAGTGGTGATTTGGGTGGTGGTGTTGAGGTTGGGAGGAAATTGTATTGTTGGGTGTGTTCGGCGGTTGTTTCTGGCTGTGATTGTGTCCTGGTCATTGTGATGATTTCTGGCAGTGGTCGTGTTGGCGATGGAGACGGTGGTTATGTTGGTGTGTTTGGTGGTGGCAGTCATGGTGGATTCTAGCTACGATGGAGATGGTGTAGGACACAATGGTAGTTTTTGTTGATGGTTTGGTTGTGGTCGGCGTTTGTTGGTGGTTGTGTTGTTGATGATGATGCTGGCGCTGACGAGTGGGTATCTGTGACCAATTATATTTGGTGTTTGTGACCAATTATTTGGTCCTCTGTGAGTGAGTGTTAATCTGTGACCTTGAAATTCATCATTTTGTGATTAAAAAAGTAATCTATGACCATCAAATTTGAAAATACGTGACCTGTGTCTATAATTTTTTGGATGTGTGACTAATGACATAAAATGTGGCCCGTAATTTTTTGATCCGTGACCAAATTCTTTGATTTGTGACCTTGAAATAATTTGTGACCTATCAAAATTTTGATTTGTGGCCTTGAAAAAAATATGTGGCCAATTAATTTGATCATATGTGACTGGCGAATAAATTTGTGACCTATAATTATATATCTGTGACCATTAATCGTGTAACTGTGACTTTATTATCATTATTTAATAAATATTTTTAATTAATTAGTTAAAACCTGAATTTTACATTAATCGAACTTGTAACTTGAATTTTGAATTATGTATACTTAAAACCTGGTTTGTGTACTCTTCCCTTAAAAATCCCCATTTCATAAATAAGATGCCATGTTTAAAATTTCACAAATCAGAAATTTTTTTAATTAATTAATATATTTATAAATTAATCTAATAAATAATAATTTCAAACCCTAATTATTCTCCACTTTCATTTCCCCCCCCACCCCTCAATTCTCTCTCTATCACATCTTTCCCTCTCTCTCAACTGCCCGACGATTGGAGAACCGACGATAGAGAGTTGCTCCATTGCAGCGTCGACGAATTGGTCGCGATCTGAGGAGATCTCACAATCGGAGGAACTGTCCATCACGATCTGTGGTGGTTGGCGTGGTGTGTGTGTAGCGGCGGCGTGTATGTGCATGGGTGTGGTGGTGTCTACAGCGGCGGTGGCGTGAGGTTGTGATGGTTTTGTGTGAGATGACAGTGAAGGTGTATGGTGGCATGATGGTGGATCTGGTGGATGCGCAGGTGCAATGGTGTTTGGAATGGTGGCCAACGGTAGGGGTCATGGCGGTGGTGATGGTGAGATGTTGGTGGTTGCAGGTCGTGGTGGTGACGGCGGCGAGGTGGTGTTGCTGTTGGCATTTAGAAAATTGATGATGATGTTGATCGTGGTCATGGTGATAGGGTATTGATTTTGGGCAGTTGCGGTTTGTTCATTTTTGTTAGATCTGGCGGTGGAGTGGGTTTCGGTGGCAGTAGAGGATGTGGTGTTCGCTGTGGTGGCAGCAATGTTGGCTATGCTGAAAATTGTGACTGTGACTCCCAATTGTGACTCAAAATTGGATTTGTGACCTGAAAATTGTGATTGTGACTCCCAATTGTAACTCACAAATTGGGAGTCACAATTGGCCGTGGCGGTAGCTGTGGTGGTCATGGCAGTGATTGTGACAGTTTGGTTGATTTGTGACTCACAATTAAATACGTGACCTGAAAATTGTGACTGTAAATTGTAAGTGTTAGTGATGGTCACAAATTATTTGGTTGACTGTGATAATTAAATTGGTTAATCTGTGACTAATGAAAAAGATCAATTGTGATCGAAAAATATAGTGTGACCTGATAAATTGTTAATATGTGATCGATAATTTGATAATTTGTGACTGTATAATAAGTTGTGACTTATAATATTTATAATTTGTGACCAATAAATAAATCATGACTTATCAATTTTTTGATTTGTGATCGATGAACAAACTATGACCTATAAAATTTTTGAATTGTGATCGTAAAATAATTGGTGACATAAAATTTCTGATTTGTGATCAAAAAATAATAAGTGACGAATTAAATTGTTAATTTGTGATCAAGTTATATAAATCTATGACTTAAATATATTTAATTTCTAAAATAATTAATTAATTTAATTATAAATAATTTTTAATCTGACTTTTGAAATTTGAAGCTTGTTTTCTTGTTTTTAAAATGTGTCATAATTAATATCTTACTTATAAAATTTTCCTTTTAAATTTTGTGTAATGATAAAAAAATAGACAGAAAGATAGGGAATAAAAAACATGCTAATGTGTCAACAAGCTGTTGGCTTTTTTTTTTTTTTTTTTTTTAAATTCAAAAAAAAAAAGGAAAAAAAAAAAATGATATGTGTGAAAAAAGCTTTTGTTTTTTTTTTTTTTTTTTTTTTAAATTCAAACTCTTCAATCATGCATCGACACGTGTGCAAACTGTTTTTAACCATGTATTTCACCCTGTTTCTGTAGCAAAACTCTTAAATTAGTTTTAGCAATTTTATAATGATTTTTCAAAGGGTACAAAACGTCCTTACTTTTCAATGTTATTGTGTAAAACGTCCTTACATTTTTTTTTTTAGCATTTTCACCTAGATTTTCAATGTTAATATGCAAAAGGTACTTTTCATCCAATTTCTCAATAAAAAATGTAAAATGACAAATATACCTTTCTATTTAAATAAAAGAAAAGAAAAGAAAAGAAAATTAAAGAACAAATTCCAATCATACTTTCAAACTTTTTTAAAAACTGTGAATAAATCCAAAATAAATTATTCGAAGGGTAATTAACACAAAATATCCCCAACTTTTGATATTATTGTGCAAAATATCTCTACCTTTCATTTTTTTTTTTGGCATTTTCACCTTTGTTTTCACATTTTATTGCGAAAATCATTACTTCCATCCATTTTTTCAATTAAAAGTTATAAAATGAAGAATATACCCTCCTATTTAAATAAAACAAAAATAAAAAGTAAAAATAAAGGACAAAGTACAACTATAATTCCAAATTGTTTTAACAAAAGTAAAATTGAGTTGAAAGGACCTTTCTTTTATTGAGAAATTGAATGAAAATAACCTTTTTTGGCAATGAAATGAGAAAGTAGGGGTGGAAATGTAATAAATAAATAAAAACATAAAATAAAATGAAAGGCAGAGACATTTTGCACAATAAAATTGAAAGATAATGACATTTTGTGTTAATTACCCATTTTTGAAACATTCCTACTTTTTAGTGTATTTTTGTAATTGCCCCTTATTTTAACAAGGTTTGCATTTTCATTTTTTTGGCCTAATGACCAGAAAATATAGAGCAAGAAAGAAGGAAACAATTTACATAGTTGGGACATTGAGGAGCCCAAACTGTGGATAATTAGCCACACAACGATTATGTGGGCATCGATTGTAACATAGACCGTCAATTAAGTAATTTTCATCAATTTGAAAGATAATAAATGGCTAAGAAGTGAAAATTGAAATTAAATTAAAGTTTAGTAATTTAATCTGGACAAATTAAAATTTAACGAGCAGATTAAATTTTCCTAACCATGGATGAAATTTACCCAGTCATATATAGAAATATTCGTGTTTTATCACTAGACCAATTCGCTTGAGAATTCGATCAATCGATCGCTACTTGACATATATAACGAATTTCATATAGTTGTTAATATCTATTGAATTTTGTCTTCGATATTATTTTACTTTCTGATCATGTTCATATATAGATATCGAGTTCGGTGTGGATTGAACATTCAGTTGATCTTTACAAAATTCTATGTTCGAAGAGTTTAAAAACTTGCAACTTGACACTTGAACAAAGAGACGACAACTGATTCCTTAAAAAGGACAGATTGGTGACAACAAAGACAGCAAACTTGATTACAAAGACAGATTTTCTTAGTTTAAACTTAGTACTCACTGGAGGGGAGTGGTTCATGAGTGGTCTGGTTAATGAAGACGATTTCATAGACAATAGCAGCAATTCCAGCACCAACAAATGGGCCAAGCCAGTACACCCAGTGGCTGTCCCATGTCCAGCTGACGACTGCAGGGCCGAACGACACGGCTGGGTTCATGGATGCACCGTCGAAGGCACCGCCAGCCAAAATGTTGGCACCCACAATGAAGCCAATGGCAATAGGGGCTATGATACCAATGTCACCCCTCTTTGGATCCACTGCCGTGGCATAAACTGTGTAAACCAGGCCAAACGTCATCACTATTTCGAAAACAAGGGCATTCCACGACGATACCCCGGTTGAAAGTGCAAATGCGGAAGTTTCCTGCTCGATGTAACAAGACAAAATTTTGAGTTCAAGTCCCACACAAAAGCATGCAAATAAGTAAGTTACGTAATGGACAATTTTTTATTCGTGGAGATTACCTTATACGTAAAATTTTCTTTTAAATAAATAATTCTTTTACTTAAAATTAAGGAAAATAAGTTCTATTAACATGTTTGAAACGAAAATTAACTTTTACTTCTTTTGAAGCTTAGCCAGCCAAACATGCTCTAGGCCAGGGATTCTAAGGGTCCGTTTGGTATAGTCTTTGATTTTACTTTTGTTTCCTGTAAAAGAGTTTTTGAATGAATCTACCTTAATTTTTATTATTCTAGAGGGCTGTTAGAGGAAGCCACTTTAGACCAATTTTCTCTAAAAACCTTTCTAACTTCTAGAAGCACTTTTATAAAATTATTCAAACGAGACAAAAAGCAACTTTTGATATTCAAAAGCTCATTTTGACTTTTCAAAAATTATGCCAAATGGGCCCTAAATAAGTTATTGATTTCATAATTCAATTTTCACTTTGCTCTTTTATAATTCAATTTGGTAGAACTTTCTTATACTATATTATTTCTGTACGCGTTGCATGCTGTGAAAATAAGAAAAACTTGATCGCGTGCTTAATTTTATAGTTTAAAATTAGTGCGGTTTCCATGTTAATTAGGATCATTAACCGTCAAACCCATGTATACATTATGTGAACTAATTCTATATATATATTGTTGACCTCATAAATTGGACCCTTCACGTGGCCAACCGATAGCTACTCCACGTATTTCTCCCTACGCACAGTCAACGCACGGTCGGATGTACACCGCAGGAACCAGTGGGAGTGGTGGCGGCCGCATAAATTTCGACGGTCAAGTTAGCCTCAAGTGATCGGAACAATACCAAAATTGTGCAAAATAGTAGGGAGGATAATATATATTTGCTTGTTATGGAAAGTTAAGTTGTAAGAGTTTCATTACCTTTGCCTCTTGTCAAACCTTGGGTATTTATAGATGAGGAGAACCGTTAGATGTTGGACACGTGTATGCATCTGACGGTGTGAGGTGTCTATTCATAGGCGTCAATCAGCCGCGTCTATAAAGTGGGCAGATAATTACTTTTCCCGAGTTGAGTTGACATAAAATTGATACATCACATGAACTAGACTCATGGAGACGTCAAATCAATTAAACTTTAGGGGCAGAAAGATCCTGACATAAATCTCTTTCTAAAATTGGCCGCAGATCCTGGCAGAGGTCCTCGGAGTGCGCCTCGACTTTAGGGGCGATGATGCTTCGATCGATTCGGCAGAATTGTCTATGTCTCACAGTGCGTTAGCAGATCGATAGCATTGGTGGTGAAGTCACTTTGGAATCACTTCGGATGGGTGCTAAACACCTCGTAATAGGCAGAAGTAGACTCTTCAAAGTGGTTAGGATAGGGGAGTAACATATATATATATATATATATATATATATATATATATATATATATTTTTTCCTCTAAATTCACTTATAAATTATGTCCACGTTTTCGACGCATGCATTAAATCTCTCTCTCTCGCTTAAGAATGTAATCACCATACTTTCCAGTCTCAAATCACATAGATTCAATGTATTGACACGTGGTAGCATAATTTTTATGCTAATATCTAATTTATTTAAGAGTTAATTCTCCAAATAGTCATTGGAACTTTTACCAAAAGTTCTCAGAAGTTTAACGAACTTCAAAATTTCCCTATCACTGAACTTTTCAAAAAGTTTTAGGTAGTCACTGAATTTCAAAATTTATCTAAATAGTCACTAAATTTTGTCATAAGTTCCTAGAAGATCAATAAATCAGTGATATATGGGATCTCAATTTGCAAAGTTGAGTGACCTCTTAGGACTTTTTGCAAAGTTCAATTACTATTTAAAAAAGTTTTGAAATCCAATGACCTTTTAGAAATATTTTGCAAAATTCAGTGACTATTTAGAAAATTAACCTTGTATTTAACGTGGGCATAAGACACTCTTATATTCGTCTATTATAGAATATTGTTGCTTCTAAAATAATATGTTATTATTTACATATATTTGTAGTTATATTTTACTTGCTCATGAGAAGAATAATTATGTAAGATCTAACATATATTATGTCTTGGCTCCTGGAGAGCTGATCATTAATTTAATTTTAATTTAGTTTCAAATTTCACTTTTTCGTCACCTATTGTCTTTCAAATCGATGAAAATTACTTACTCGACAGTCATGCTACAATGGATGCCCACATAATCGTTTTGTGGCATACCGAATAAAAAGTAGCGTTGGATTTGAAAGACTACCAAGATTTTGTTCATTGTACGGCTAATTATAATACTACTTGTGTCAATTTCCTTTTTCTGGAGGGGTGTGGTCTTCTGAGCAGCACACCTTGAGTAGCCCGGTCTAGCCTTTCAGACCCGTTTATGGCCCACATGGACTGGCCCAATCATATCATTCACAGTGTATTGATGTTAGGTTAGTGTCTTGGTTGGAGTTACGGTGTAATAGTGATGGCAACATGCCGGGCCGGGACGGGACGGGCGGAGCGGCAAGGCGGGAACGGGTGCGGGGCGGGGCGGGGCAATTTGCCACGTTTATTTTTTTTATTTCATTTTCAAAGTTTTGAGTTATGTTGTTATTAGAGAATAAAATACAAATTCGAAATGAGTTTTTAACAGGTGAATTATCTAGAAATAAAATTATTTTTAATCTTTTTTCTTCACGGGACGGGGTATCCCCTCCCCGCCAACCTATTTGGGGCTGGTTTTTCTGCCCCATTCGAGGCTGGGCAACTTTTTTTGCTATCCCGATGGTGTGTGCCTATGACTTTTTTTTGGGGGGGCAATTACACAAATACACTAAAAAGTAGGAATGTTTGAAAAATTATTATAAAAGGAGAGTTTACAATTTAAATTTGTTAAAAATAATTTAAAACATTTTTTCTTAAGCTTATAGTGAGCGTATAAGAAACTTTTAACTGATATTTAGATCTTACTTCTTACCTTTTAGTGTTGGATATAAATTAAGATTGTGCATTTGAAAGTAAAATGTTTTGTCACTTTTTAATTAAAAGGTTTCACGTTGTTTGGACGAATTCGTAGGGCGTAAGAGATTCAATTTAAAAATAATTTTATTATTATTATTTTTTTTCAATTCAACTATAACAGAAAAAAATAATTAAAAAAAAAAATTCGAATGCAACCCCAGTTGATTTCCAATTACTGTCTAGAAATTGAAATTATGTTAATGCACATTTGATTGTAAGAAGACATATTTCGCGAGACAATAAATATCGTCCTATTGATAAATTCACGAATTAAATCATAATTATGTATTAAACCATAGAATAACAAATTGAAGCCAAGTTGAATTCTAGAAATTGCATTGTGACTAATGAATTCTAGCATAAAAATAGAATTAAGGGCTTGTTTGACATAACTTTTGCTTTTGCTTCATGAGGAAGAGCTTTTGTAGGAAGATACTTTAATTTTTGTCTGAAAACTAAATTTTAAAAGCACTTCCTATTTTGAAAGTATTTTTAGATAAAGTCACATTGAATCAACTTCCTTTAAAAGTTTTTCTAATTATCAAAAGCATTTTCATAAAAATAGCCAAAATGATTCAAAAGCAATTTTTGGATCTCAAAAACTCTTTTTGACTTTTCAAAATCATGCCAAACAAGCTTCAAGGAACACAAGTTAATCACCACAAATTTTGTGTCTAATGTTTACAAATAGACACTATTTTATTTAAGTGAAGAAGTGAGTTTGTCACTTCGTATGGTTTGTTTTCCATTTTAGTGAAATTTTTAAACATTTCGATTTGGTTTCAAATTACTTTGACAATAGATAAAATCTAAATTAAATTTTTTTTATGGTTGTCTGGTTTTATTAAAAATCGTAATGTTGACGGATGCATGCGGACTCAAATCAACGATTTCAAAATTAAAAATATATACATTGTTAGAAGAGAGAATAAAAGTCAATTGACTTATATGCGTATTATAATGAGAACCAAAACACTATATTTACAAGAAATGATTAGGGATATAATGATAATAATTTCTAGGGTCGTAGATGTTTAATTGTTATTTACTAATAAACTTACCATTTATCACATACATTTATTTGATTGGAATGTTGTGAATAACGAAGAGGAAGGGAGAATGGAAGGGAGGGGATTTTATGAAAGTGGTTTGACTTGAAAAATAGTAGTCGTACTATAGAATATGTAAAAAATTCAATGTCCTGAAAATCGACTCAAGAGGTGAAGGGTCAAGTTTAAAAGGTTCAACTGGGTCAAATTGGAATCAAATCGAATGCAATAAATAAATACAAAAATAATAAAATATTTTGAAAACAATATTTAAAAAAAAAAATGTTTTTCGTGACAAATTTTTAAGTTCAAAAGGATTTTTATAAATTTTAAGTTCAAAAGTACATGACCTCATTTTCCCACAAAACAAATAGTCCCAACATGGTCAACTCTCTATTTCACTCATTGAAAAAATTGCTCTTTCGAAACTTTAATTGGCTTCATGTGGGAATGAGTTAATAGCACTCTATTTTGTTTAAAATTCTGTTATTTCTTCAACATTTGCATCAAATCCAACAAAAACAAGAGTTTGATAAAACTTCATTTGATAGGATAAACTGTAATATATCTGTTACTTTGAATTCATTGATAATTTGTTTAGTATAAGATTAATGGTACTCCAGTTATACCTCGTTTGTTTCACTTAAGACGCGAAATTGAAATCCTCAATTTTGTCGCTCTTTGTTAGCGTATCCATTATTTCTTAATATAAACGAAACTTCTTTATCTTTTACTCTATCAGAGCATTGAATTTCTAAATTTAGTTTATATTAAGAAAGAAAGAAAATAATCAAAATAATGTTCGTTCTAAAATCTATCTCAATTTAATACTGTGCATCAAATATGCCACCAATTGTTTGTAAAGTTTTTTTCCATGCTTTTAAAGTTTTTGTATGTACCAAATTCTTGTTTGGTTTCATTTTTTTTTTAATAATAATTCATAAATTATTTTGGTGAAATTTTACCACATCATACAAATTATATGTGAATTGTATAAAAAAAATATTAAATTTCTTTTTTGTTGTAAAACTATAAGATAAATATTGATGATTATACAGTCTTATCATCATGCATAAATAAGTCTAATCTAGTTTAGAGAGTCAATTTCATTTCAATTATAACTCTCATTTTGAACCATATAAATACAGGTTTGATTCTAAAAAAAATACACAATTGAGTTTTTAATTTTATAATACGTTATTAACATGTGTCTCTTAACATCAAAGTGAATTAGTTAGAATGCGGTAATAATTTTCTATGCCTGTATGTTTGGTGGTTGCGAGTTCGTCAAAATTAATTTTGCAGAATTTTCTTATACTTATATTACTTCTATACGCTTGCATGCTGTGAAAATAAGAAAAACTTGATTGCGTGCTTAATTTTATTGCTTAAAATTCGTAAGGATTGTATGTTAATTAGGATAATAATAATTAGGATCTTTAACCACTAAACCCACTTATAAATTCTGTGAACTAATTCATGTATATATATATATATATATTCTCTCCACTAAATCCACTTATACATTATGGCCACGTCTTCTGCGCATGCACTAAATCTCTATCCGCCCTCTTGCTTTTTCTCTCTAAGAAAGTAATCACCATATAATTAATGATTTACATACAGTACTGCCTAATCTCAAATCACAAAGATTCAATGCATTGACACATATTCGCATAATTTTTATGCTATCATCCAATGTATTTAACCTGTGCATAATATACTCTTATATTTGTCGACTACAAAATATTGTTGCTCTTGAAGTAACATGCTATTATTTTTATATATTCTAGCTAAATCTTACTCGCTCATGAAGTGAATAAGCATAAGATCTAACATAAATTATGTTTTTGCTCAAATCCTTGAATAATCTTTTATTCTAAACAATAATATATTATTGCTCCTGAAGAGAATGGTATTATAATCTCATTATCTCATGAGAATATTGATATATTGCTCTCGAATAAGTAATAGTAAAATATAACGTGCTATCGAAGTAACACATGTTTCGAATAATCATTGTGAATTATTGCTTATCCACGGAAGAAAAAAAATATAATTCATGTTATATTGACAGTGATTAGTTTGACCACTTGATTTATTATTATATGATTATACAATATTTAATCATACTCTTCAAAAATTAATTATATTTCCTATTATTGCTCCTAAAGAGCATGGTATTGTAATTTCATTATGTCATGATAATATTGACATATTGCTCTTGAATAAGTTATAGTAAAATATAACGTGCTATCGAAATAACACATGTTTCGAATAATCATTTTGAATTATTGCTTATCCACGGAAGAAAAAAATATAATTCATGTTATATTGACAGCGATTAGTTTGACCACTTGATTGCTTAGTTCTAAAAATATTTGCTACAATAGATATCACATTGAGAAAAATGCAAGAAAATACATATTGAACATTTTTGCATAACTTATTTTGTATTTGGCCAAAAGCAGATAAAAGAAAGTTTCATACACTTTCATTTGGGATGTATTATATATTGATAAAAATGATTGAATCAAATAATATTATGAACTCAAAGTTCGTTGGAACCATAAAATTTTATACTTTAACATAATTGATTTGGACATTCAAGAGCTATAATAACAAGTTGAATAATTAACAACTCACACGGACATCCACTAAAGTATCAATAAATTCTTTTACCTAATGATTACTCATATGTTGCTTGTTTGAAAAGCTAGTTATTAGATCTACCATTACAAAGATCAATATTGAGTTTCCAATTTTTTTGAAAAGAATTCATGGAGATATATGTGGGTCAATGCACCCATTATGTGGACCATTTTGTTATTTTATGATATTAATCAATTCATCTATTAGATGGTCCCATGTTTACCTACATTCTACTAGAAATGTGGATTTTGCTAGATTACTTGCTCCAATATGTTAAAAGTGTTTATATCCAAAGTTGATTGGATTTAGGGCATACCATTTATACTAAGGCCACTAGATGATCGAGAATTCTGAAATTGATAGGCCTCCAGGTGGAGTGAGGGACATCGTTTGGTGGTGTGCTCTTGAGTGTTGCATCTTGGTGGAAATCAAGATACAACTTGAATGGAAGTCGTGGCCCAAGAGGAGATGGAGATTGTGACCCAACAAGAGAAGGAGATGAAGACTGCTAGGGCCTATTATGGGGTGCAACTGGATTTACTGTGGCTGGAAGAGAGACATTTGATGACTGAGATTGATTCAACATCAACTTTTTGTTGATCATTTTTTTCATAGAGTTTTGCCAAAGGAGATTGTTGTGTCACACCCGTTAATAGCATCAACGAGGGCTCGATAATGATTATCAAT